TACTCAAAGATAACAGGCAAAATGTTTGAAGGTCGCCTTGATTTGTCTTTTATTTGGTCAAAATGCACCAGTTGTGAAAATATGGTTTTGTTCTTGAATGATGTTAGGACTGAGTGATGGTTTGAGTAAGGCGTTCACACAAACAACAGCACTTCATGAAAAAACATGGAACCCTCATTCATTTCAAACAGACAACTCTTCAATCCTGCCTGAGTATAAAACTGTTGGGTATTTGTATCAGAGAAGCCTTTAACACTAAACCTACTCTTTTTTAATTGTCCTTTACAGTATCCTGAGGCCAAATGCATTGTTTTGCTGAAATGCAATTAAGTCAGTAAGATACAGATATCAATGATATATCAGGATACATACACACTGTCAAAATAGTGAGGTTTATAGGGTGGATGATACTATGGATAAAAATATTGTATCACAATATATGCAATTTATATTATATAAACTTTTTACCTACTTCTGCATTCAAACTGTTGTGGTTTTTGCAGTTAAAGTATGCCTCAGCTACATGTTGTGCTGATAATGAAAAGCAGTTTTGTTATCACAGTGACTTGGTGGAGTCTTTGCTTCTATCAGTAAACTGTACAAGCTACAACTCAAAAAAAAAAAAATTAAGAAACTCACAGTTTATGTGCTCCACAAACATCAACCACCAACTTTTCTACAGCTACTTCCTGCATTTTCAGAGTGTTTGTTGTTGTTGGCTACCTATGTATTGTCAATCCCAGCTTCTTTTTTTTATGTTATTTAGTCAGTCACTGTCACGAATGCTTCTGTAAGATGTTGAACTGTGCTGCTTAAAAAGATCCCAGGCACAGCACTTTTTCCAAAGCGACTGCTTTCTGTCTGCCTCCCGGCCGCTTTCCGTACACTTTAAAAGTGGAAAAGAGGTTTGAAAAAAAGCAGAACAGTGTGAACACGTCTTACAGTGGCGATCACACCAGAGGCTTTGAAAAGGCAAAGAATAGCGTTCCTGGAGTGTTCTCTGGAAAGCAGACTGCTGAGCATTTTTTTTCTGTGCTACAAGCATAACCCATTTTTAACACTGTGTGTGTTGTGCATTCATGTCTCTTTTGTCACATCTGCTATCCACGGCTTCTTCAACTCCTGAAGAATTTTAAACAACACTGATAGAAATCTTCACTGCACCCCACTCTGGTCACTGTGATTTGCACATTACATGGCTTTAAGCCTGCCTATAGTTACGTATAGTTTGGCTCAGCCACATATGCTCAGAATGCAGTTTGGGGTAATGCAATACTCTTTTGATTGATGAGTTGAACTACAGGACTGGAGTAGTGTTTGTTCCCCACATTGCGCTTGCAATTAAGTTTTTTGTTTGGCTAAATATAACTTGATAAATACCTTATCCAATCTTTCATCTGCTCTTTTCAGTCTGTTGCATTGTCCATTCTGTCCCCAGCATACAATGAAGTCAAATTACTTGAAACTGACTAGGTGTAACAGTAAAATACAAAAAAGAGTTTATTGAGCCAATAAGTGCCGTATATATAAGGTGGAGATTATTCTATACAATATCTTTCTGTATAGGAATTTCTTGACCTGTACTTTATCATGTAAAGTGTGTACATCTATCTTTCTTTGTTTCCCTCTTTTCCTCTCGCCCTCGCTCACTGTTAAACTGTAAGATAGATCATTAGCTTTAAATGGACTTCAATCCGCTCATTACATGTCCCATTTACCTTCACTGCATAACGCTCTACTTTTCATAACGAGGCAGAAAAAGAGGGGGAGACAGAAAGAAGGAATGCACATGTGGGAAGATCTAGACAGAATGAGAACGGGAAAGACAAAAGTGTGTACTTGAATAAGAGAGTTAGTCAATAAGAGAGTTAGGAAGTGTTGAGATGAGGCCAAAGATAAAAAAAGACAGGCATGTAGAAAGACGGAACGTTCCAACCAGAAAGGCATTATGAATCTGTGAATTCGGAAAAGAGAAGAGAACCTGTACTTTCTTTTTGTTTTGGTACAATCTCTACTAATAGTGTGAAATATGTACTGATATTGAATACACCTCAATTGAAAACTGAAAAGATCATCATGATAATGACTCTGCTTCAGTCCGTTGTTTCTTTCCCTACCATTTAACAGCTAATGACTGACGACAGAGAGGGGGAAGTATTTCAAGCATGTAATCACCTTTTTATCAGTGTTATTTTTCTATGGTTTTCGTTAACCCTGCAGCAGGTGATGCAGCGGAGACATCAGTGCAATGCGTGTGCGAAGGTGGCACTTTATGTGTGTTCTTCATGTATTCATATGGTTTCACTGACAAGGCTGTATGCGGGGTGATACCTGGTTTCAGTTTATACATTTGTGTTTTAATGTCTGGTTTAATCCATAAATTCTTTGTGTGAGTGTTTGTGCACTTTAATGGGTGAGTTGTTGTGCTTAACACGTAATAACATTGGTTTGTATTTTGTTTTATTATATGTGTGTTAATGCGTTTGTTTACAGATGTATGTGTGTTTATGTGGATGTATTTTGTGTGCATGCATTATATTTATCCATAAATTCCTACTGTTAAGTGCTGGCTGTCTTGTTTGTGATGACGTTGAAGATGACAGGGTCAATTCAGGGAAAACTGATGCATTAAGTGCTTATTAACAGCAATAATTTGTTTTATGTCACTACCCAAAGGTGTTAATGACAAAAACTGTTGAAAAATAATAAAACAGCCCCAATGGTTTGGTGTGTTGAATTTATAATAGGCACTGGAGTGCTTCCTTTTATCTTTCTTCAGCTAAGGCCTTCACCACAGGTTTCATCGCCTTGCTTATCTGCACTGACCCATCCATTGACCCAGTGTTCTCACTCCTCCTTTTCTCTGTATTTTCTCTATACTCTTTCCCTCCCCACCTAACCTTACACCTCCCTCCATCACTTCTCACTTTCCTTCAACTAATCTCCTTCTAGTTCACCCACTCCTCAAAATGCCTTCCCCCCTCCTCTCCTTTGATCCCTCAGCATAGTCCTATTTCCTCTACTACCCACTTTGCTTTGCTTTCAACCATTCTTTTGTCTCTCTCTGCGCATCCATCTCATACCTCTATTTCAAGTTATTTCAATTTCTCTCTGTTTCTGAATGTATTTTATGTCTAACACATTTTTCTTTTCTTTTTCTTTTCTTCAAAGGTGATTGCTTGGGATTATACAGTAAGAAGAGGAAGGGGAAAAGAGAATGAAGACATTTGACAAAGGTTCCAGGCAGGATTCAAACCCAAGATTTGGCAATCACATTTCTAGGTTCACAGAGCCACTGGGGCACTCCTTAGTAATTTCCATACACTTGTTGGGATCTTCATTGCCAGCTACAATCAAAACATGGGTAGTGAGATTTAAGGTAATGTGAATGCATGCAGTCTAAAAGAATGGCACAAATGGAAGGGAGTAGCCTTGATTCAGGCAATGCTAGCTAAGAAAAGCAAGCACTAAGCAGGCAATTTACTCAATCCAATAAAGTGAAAAGAACATTAGCTTCAACAGGGACTCTATTAAGGTGTCTGTTGATGTTTTTAGAGAAAAATAAGCCATTGATGGTGCAGCTGTCAAGCATGATGTGAACTGATTAAATTACTGAATAAAGAAATGGAATGCTTAAGAAAATATAAAGTAACCTGCAGTGTCTTACAATTTCTCTCCCATATTGATAATGGATGGGACGTCATGTGGTGTTATTAGCCTGCCTAAACATTTTCTCACCACATTCACTGCTTCTTTTAAAAGCCAGTCAATGAAAAACACACAAATAATGCAACATTTTTTTTGTCAACAGCTGGTCCTATAGTTGGTTCAACATTTTAAACTTCATATTTTTCGCTCGTCTCAAAAGAAAGCAACTGTGTCTATTTTCACACCTCGAATACATTCATACTTTCGCTGTATGCCATTATCTTGCCGCTGATACAACTCAACCACCCCGCAGGAGCCGGTTCGATTTAATCTATTCTTCTATACAATAACTTCCATCCCCTCCTTCTGAACTTTTTTCCCTTTGTCACCCTCCTCTGCCCTCTGTCTTCTATTTATTCAATGATTTGATTGTCCTCTTTGTCACCCCTACCCTTAGCCCTGCTTCATCTCCCCTATCCAGTTAATTATATCTCTTCCTGCCTTCTCCACTTTTTCCCTTGTACAGAACAGAGACATTAGTAGCAAAGGAACTTCACATACGTCTGAAAGACCCCCCAAAAACACTTCAGGAGAGGGGACAAAGAGAAGACATTTAGCTGGTATGGCCCATCTTAACTGATGCAGTGACATGGGAATCAACAGTCTGTGCTGTTGTTAGACATTGTGAGACAATGTTAGATCAGACTGAGCTGAGTATGCAGACCTAGCGTAAGTGTTATTGAGGAGCCGCCTCCGGTTGTAAGTACTCAGTTTTATAAAATAAATAAATATATAAATCAATTAATCAGTTATCATTTTGAAAAGACTCTGCACTCATTTGCTCACATTAGTGTGAAATGACTTGGTCAGATGCAAACTGTGTCCTTCATATGATTCAAATAGCCACTAAGAAGGTAAAAAACTTGACGTGCATATTGTGGAAACTGAGCACTACATGTGTTCATGTGCATGTATCAGTGGAAGGCTCCACTTGCTAACAGCCTGACCCTTGTACACAATAGCCAGGAGGGATTTTGTTCTCTCTGTCAGGCCTGTCAGACTGCCAATCACCAGCACACCTCTTTCTGCAGTGAGCCGATTATAAGCCAGGAGCACACTGTTACCACAGTAGTAAGCTTACGCTGCAGCTTAGATTTTTACATAACAATGCGTTTTTTTGTCTAATTTGTGTGGTGTTTTTATCTTAGTAATTATGCACAAGAACATACACTTCATAAATATTCTACCACGCCTAAAATATTAACAACAAGGGTAACTCGTAAAGTGAACCAGTGCGCAAGACTGCTTGTCTGACACACATGCATAGTCAGAAAATGATTGAGAGTACTTACTTTAGGTCCTGGAAGGGTTCTGCCCGTACATGTGATGTCTCTACGGAATGGCTGAACACCACGCCTTCATTCCCTGTAGAGAGGGTGAGCAAGGATGAAAGGAAGGAAAAGAAAACACATACATCTTTTGTGTGAAGGGCTACACAATATTGCATCATACCTCTGTTCTTGGAGCTGAGGCAGACACTTAAAATGCATGACACGGTGTTCAGAGCCTCCGTGATACAAATTATCATACAATTACTTTCAAATAAGAGAATACTTCCAGTAGCAATATATACATTTAATGGTAACCTGTGGCATACTTTGGAGACAGGGCTGTATGTCCTGTCTCACACTGGAAGTCAGTGTTGACTTCATTATTTAAATGTTTAATCAAAGTAATTTAAACTACCTTAGTTATCCTTTATTGCTGAGTCCTTACATTCAGTATTTGTTTCTGGTATGTTAATAAAAAATGTGAACCAGATGGCACTACACTGCCCCAAAACACATTTTACTGAAGCAAAGTAGTTGCATTCAGTATGGACATAATTGTCCCCTATAAATGGTTGGCTCTGATATAATGCAGTGTTTAACCCCCCGTGTACAGCAAGCACCTCTGCATTAGCCTGCAGCCCTGAACAGATGCTTTGGGAAAGTGCTGGTCATGGCTCCTGCTGAGACTCTAGAAAGCATGCTGGATATTCAGCACTGCTACAAATCTAACACTACGCAAAGCAACTTTGCCCATTGGCAGGCCCACAGATAACAAAAGGATACTTAAATTGTTCTTTGAAACTGAAGCAGCATAGGCCAAGTTTATTTCAAGGAGATTCAAGGAGGACCTGTGGGGAGGATAAGGACCACTGTCTCCAAAAATCTCCCATCTGTTGTACCTCCAAACGACTTTAACTTGGAGAGGGGTGCCGTTGCATTTGTGAAGCTTTTCTGAGGTTTATTCCAAGGCTCACTGAACACAGCACACATATGTACGTCTGTGCAACTGCCAACAAAATTTAAAAAAGAAGAAAGGCTTCTCCGTTCTGTCAATAATGGAAAATTAGGGATGTCCCAATCAAGATTTTAGTCCCCGATCCGATCCGAGTCATTTATTATTGAGAATCTGCCGATACCAAGTCCCAATCCCAAACTTATATATTTTTTTAGATAATAGCGCACAATGCACACGTTTAGTACAGAAAAGTTATTTAACTCCAATGTATATGCTTGACAATTAAATAGCTTTACATTACATAAAGAAACACCACATTGAAACTGTTCCCTAATGATTTTTAAATGCATTTTTATACACAATAAAGTATAAAATAAAGAACGATCTGTAATCTTTTTGGTCTTGTTGCTGTCTGGAGGGAGTTTCTCTCTCCAGTGTTTGTTGCTTTAGTGCAGCTTTTACCCACGTTACCTGAATGAAATGTTTTTTGCGTGAGTGTTTATTTCCATCGTCCATTAGTTAATCACTCTTATTGACTTTTTGTTCGCGGGTTCACGTTTGTTACACTTGCAGAGGCTATGTCGGATATCTACCGCTTTCTCCTTCCTCACACACACAGAGCAGAATGGAGAAAAAAAGACAGCAAGAGTTGACGATGGCACCGTGCATGAAAGCTTCATGAGTAGAAACAGCTGTATGACAAAAACAAAAGATCGGATTGGATCAATAAAGCTCAACATAGCTGATACTGATCGTTGAGATCGGACTGGGACATCCCCAGTGAAAATAGCAATGTGTGTTATTTCTGATTGCTATTCTATACAATGATGTCCATGACTTTGTCAACCATAGGCCATGTTTCTTCCAGTTTCTGACTCTGTGTTACTTTCGGTTACACTTCTATATTTACTATGGTCTCTGAGCACTCTGCTATGTAAATTAAATGTTTATAAGCTTGTCATAGCTTGTTGGGTGGCACCTGTCCTGGTACACAATACCCATGAAGTGTTTTCAAAGCAGAGCCAGTACATTGGAACCAATACAATTCACACTGGGTATATATGTACACGCATGGAAATCAAGCCCACTAGTATCACATACCTCACTAGCTGCCTTGGCACTGGCTTGCATTGTCTGATTGTCATAAACAGCAGGCTTAAATGTAACCTTCCACATTAGCTGTGCAGTCTTTGCTGTACTCTTCTCGCTACTGCAGAGGGCAGCAACATGTGGAAACATTGTTCGTTTAAAATTTAAAAAAGAGTATCTATTTACAAATCTAAATAATAAACAGTAGCAAGAGCTGAACAGATGTGTTCATATTTGCATTCTTTCCATTGTTCAGCATCTTTTCTCACCTCCTTTAATGGACACATCAATTACCCTAGGTGTGTGTCTGTGTGTGTATTTGTGTAGTCCACCATTAAAGTTGAATTTGTGTGTTTGTGTAAATGCATATTTTGTTATATAAAATACTACTGATATATTTTAACATACAAGCAAACAGCGATGTAAACACACTCACATGCACTTCCACTTGATTTTCTCACTTTCATTTAATAAGAGGGAAAAAAGTAAAAAGAAAACAAGAGAGAGTAAATGAGAAAAAAAAACAGACATTGTAGTCCACCATAGGACAATATTCCCATCTCATTTCTTAGCTTTTTTTCTTTTTCATTTCACTAAGAGTGCTTTGTTTTTTTTCCACTGCAATTATGCTCACCTGGCTTTGCTCAGACCTCTCAATGATCTGTCTCTTATTCTCTTTCTTTTGATACTGCCCTTTTAATTACAATTCAGGCAGCAACAAGTTATGACAATGTCCTTATTATAATTATGCCAGATATCTGGATACAAAATTAATTTCAGTTTAGGGGAGCATTGTGTGTCAGACAATTAACCTGTCTCACTCGGCCCTAGGAGCTAGAGCTTCTAACCAATTAATCTGTACTGCACAAAAATCTGGGGATATGAAAATTGCCTGAATTAAAGATACCTAATATTAAAGGAGGCCTGTGGAGTTTTCTTTTTTACAGACAGAATTTATGTTTCTTACATTCAGTGTTACTCACCAAAACATACTGTGTATATTTGCAACCTCTAACAAATGTGTTGAATGTATTCATAAAACACTGGCAATTTTTTATATTTTATTAAATATTTTGAATCCGGACATCCATTCATGTTTCCTTTTTGGCAGTCTACATCTTCCCTACCATTGCTGGTGCATTGCTGCTTTTTGTGGTGTGTAGAATAGCATGAATCACTGCCAGGACTGTGCGTTATGTCAACCCCATGCACACGTATAAGCATGTGCGTCCTTGTGTGCGTGCACAAGATCAACAAAACTGGGACCCACTCAGAACAGCTCCACAGCGCTAATTGAGGTTACAAAACCTCCACAGGGAACCTTAACAGAAACATTACGGTAAAAATATATATATATATTGCTTAATTTTGCATAAATGTATATAGTACAATATTAGTAGTAGTATATAGTACCTACCTGTGACTCTAAGTTTCTCGGTGCCGATGCTGATCTCCTCTTCATCTGCAGAGAACAGAACTCTCTCTCCATCTGTACTCCTCACCTCAAACCTCTGACACTGGGCCTCTACCATTTCTGAACCTGAGAAGGTGTGAAAGAGAAAGAGAGAAAGGGGCACTGGGTTAAAATTGATTGCAGAACTTTCACAGCACATTAAACATAGATAGATGTTTTTATCCAAAGTTTCTTACAGAACCATTAGTGCATGAAGGTTTAGCTTCAGTGACCACTAAATGATAGAACTTTGAATCCCAGCATCTCTAAGTTTTGTTTTGCCGTGACACCAGTGCAATATGAGTACAGATATCAGGACAACTAAGATGATCCACATTGTTGTGATATATAAAAAAATGATATTCGTCTGTGGAACAATGTCCCACTTAGTCTCAATAATCCACAGAAAAAACTGTGTCTGAACTACTTTGTACTGAAGAAACAGTCAATATGAAAACTGAGTCCTATTCACTTCAACTGGGGTGGCAGCATATATAACAGGGAAGATCTGAAGAACTCAAACTCAAACCATAATCTGCATAGCTAGATACAAGGCGTGTAACAGTATGTGTATTCGCCCGAGACGGTTTTGGTATGTGACATCCTCAGTTTAGTGCGCCCTATAAAATAATGTCAAAATGATCAGCTTGATCTCATTCCCAGGACGTCAAATACCAATGTTTTGTCAAGGCTCTTTGGCATCTCATACAGATACACAAGCTACCCTTTACAGAAATTCTAGAGAGCAAGTTTTACCCAAGTTTTGGTAATGCACCAGTTGTTGTCTATCAGCTATATGTTAGTCAGCCCGGTTTGTAGCAGTGTTGCTGCTCCGCTATATAGTGGAGTTTAAATTAACACTGACATGGTCAGATAGTAGATTTGTTGCTGGTGCCTTTTCAAGCAAAGGTTGGCAGTGAGGTTTGAAAAGTTGATCAATCCACTGACAAAGTTGACAAATTACCAACAGTGGTCACGATGGCAGTTTGCCTTTACTTCATTTTGTTCAACCGTGTTTCCCTTCATTTTGTGATTTGGGCTGTGATGTGCTGCGGGAGAGAGCAGACTGCTGAGCCTAAAGAAAGTCTCTCTCTCCCTCTCTCCCTATCCCCTTCCTTCACTGTCTGGGCTCCCAGGCTATTACAAGTGTCAATTAGAAACCCAGAGTGCCTTGTCAGTAATAATCAAACTTTATTAGCAGCCATCAATCTGGGATTAAGTTCTCTTTTCTCATCTCTCTCTCTTGCTGTCTTTATCCTGTCTATCTCTCCCTCCTTAAGCCTCTCACTCCTCCACCAACTGTGTGAAAAAGCAATTGAGATTTGTGTTGTGAAAGGCTCACCCTAAAGCAAGGTATCTGTGTGTGTGTGTGTGTGTGTGTGTGTGTGTGTGTGTGTGTTTTTGTTTTTTGTTACAAATGTATGCAAAGACTTAGGAGATTGAGGGGTTGGGGTTGACAGAGATGGGAGAAGTATGGTGAGAGGGGAATGAAAGAAAAACAAGGCTTGTGTTTGAGAAGGAAAGATAAAGAGAATGTTAGGCTAGTTTAATTTGGAGATGTGCTGTGCTATTTCCTGTCACAGACCGAGCTAGTTCTCTTTGGTTGTTCAGCTCTTGTTCTTTAATAGAGCTCGTAGTGCAGATTTCCAGCATGGGTGTAGGTCAGCATATTTCCAAAGATTTGTGTTTTATTCACAGAATAGCAAACCTTCTTGTCTTCTCAGTAGGGGTGTACAAAAGATTCTAAAACAGTGGGAGTTGGGCAGCCTCACATAATAGTGAGAACTTGGAAAAATGTAAGAAAAGCTCTAGTATAATAGGCACATTTCTGTGGAAGAACAGTAGCATCAAACAAAAAGGTTATATAAGACAACATGAGCCTTTATAATTTATTGCCTATTTTCAGATAAGAAGTCAGCAGCTGTAATACAAAGGTATGAACGATTATTTTTAAATTATCTGGTCTTTAGCTACAATATTATGACTCAACCTTTTCTTTGCACTGGGGCTTTAATGTGTGATTACATAAGAACTGGGCCTATGGCTTTCACGCTCAATTGAAATGAACCTGGGAAGAAAAAAAAAGGTTTATAGAGGGAACACAAAGCAAATATGGTGCTCTGTATGTGTGCAGCAGCAACATGAGACAAAGTTATTCTTTTCAAATGATTGCTTAGAGAAAGGGACTGACAGAGAGTGGAGTGATGGCTGGAGGAAACATCTCCATTGAGCAGTTTTACTTTATGCAAATGAACAGTGATGTGGTGTTGCAAAGGACAATTGAACGGTAGATGTGTTCCCTTTGTGTGTTTTTTATGCTGTGAAACTTGTTTTGAGTTTTGCTCTAATTGATGTGTCAGTCAATAATCTTCTAAACAGTGAAATGGAAAAAAGGTTTATTATAGCTACAGTCACTTCTGAAATGTTTGTTCTGAATGGCTGTTAACAGTGACAACAGGGAAAAGAGTAAAACATAAAAAGCAATATCAAGGTTCTCCACAGCAAAATTTAGACACTTTGAAATTACACAACTACATTGTGTTAAATGTCTCCCGTCATTGTACACATTTAGTTGTCAACAACGTGAGGGGTGGTTTGTCCAATAATAACTATCAGATCTTTTTGGTTTTTCTTGTTAGCGATCAGCAGGTAGCTAATTTTAATTCTGTGTAAATGAAGTGCTTTGGGTCAATTAATTTGCTCCTGCAAACGTCTCTCCCACTGATAACACTAAAAGTAATTCTGCTGTCACCAATGACAACAGGACTCCTCGTTAGGCAGACATGTTAATTGATGCACTGACTTAAATAATCACTTCCTGACAGGATCTCCTCTGTTGTCACAAGTGCCTCGCTCAGCAGGATCCTTCAGTAATAATAAAGCTTTTAGAATATCTCACTGATGAAGAGAGGTGCTAGAGAAAGAAACTGTGAAAAAAAGGAAACAGTACAGTGCATGTGACTGAGGTCCTGTGTCAGATCTGAACTTTTTAACAAGCATGTGACATGAGTTTCAGTCTGCTGAGTCAATAGGGTGTCCTGTAGTCATCACAGGCATTTTAATGTTTTCACCATGGTGCTAAAGCACTGTGCGGTTTATTACCACTTTGAAACAAAAGCACTGCATTTAATTTGCAAGAATAAATGCATGCTCAAATAACTTTTGCCTATTTATACCAGCCTGCTGCAGGTTGTCGTGGTTCACACAAACGTCTGCTGGCAAATATAGTTCCATACACATCCCTGCTCAACATATGAGGCCATGGTCAGGTCTGCAATATTTACACTGATGTATGCAAAAAGTGGAAACTTATTTTCTTTATTTGGTCATCTTCTGATGAGTGATATTCTATCTGCTTTGATATTAAATGAGTATAGAAACAAAGTCATGTCTTTACAATATCAGACTTTATCACAGTATGAAAACTACTGTCAAATATGTGTTCTTCTTCAGGTCCTCATTTTACTTGCCTATGAATTTTCATGTGATGGTTGTGATTTTGAAGTCTCCATCCTTACTTCATATTCATAAAGAACTGGAGGGCGCTCGAAGGCCCAAAGCATCCAACATCACTGATCAATTGTCATTTTCTGCTTTGTCCATTCTGGCTACTGTAGAAATACATATATAATATATTCGATTTCAGCCAGTTGATCCTCTTAAATGTTACACATTGGACCTTTAAATGAATGATAATGATGCTTTGTATCTGCTGAATGTGTAAAAAGCTAATTGTTTGGGCGGCTGGTGGAAAAAGAACGAAGAGGTCTACACACTTGAACAGCCAGCAACTGGCTATTACAGCCTTGTTCTGTTTGACCTGTGAAAGCTCCACTGAAACAACAGAGGTTTTTATTACATGTTCAAGGGCACATCAACATCAGTTTGGTGGCTGAGGCTGGAGAAAGTGCTTCTAATTCACATCTCCAACTCAGTGTTACCCACCCTAAACCAGCCTGCCCCTGATGGTCACTTTTATGCATTTATAAGTTTCTTTTCCTCACAACTCTCCGTTAACTTTGCCTCTGAGCTCCTTTTGTTCTTGGAAATCAAGTTCTGAATGGGGGTAAAAACAAAATAAATAATTTATTAAACTTTTCACATACTTCATTGGGATTCTAAGTTCTCCAATTTGTATTCTGTAATTAATGGACATTAAAATGGCCCCTGTGTAACTTTTTTACTACTGCACATTAAAGCATTGAGGCCATAATAAAGTTATATGGGTTTGCTATCCTGGATTTTAAATTTGAGGCTTCAAATTAGGGCTTCTAGCAATGATGGAATATGACGCAAGAAGACGCTGTAAAAGGATTGGGGGGTAGGTACAAAGAAGAGTGTGGCTAAGCCATGTAAACACTGCATGCATGGTTAATTTTTCCCAAACAGGTCAAGATGAATTTTTAATTAAAGTCAGCTTTAGTGCACTTTGTGATTATGCCTCCCCACCACCCTCACCTTTCTTTTCCTCAGTAGCACATTCCTGGAGATTAAAGATCACAAGAGTGTGTGAAACAGTATGTGACATTGATGTAATTATTTGTTCTCTGCATATGTGTCTGGCCTTGAATAGTTTTTGCATACATGCAAATTTTCATATGTGAATGCTAATATATTCTCCAGCCCAGAAACACTTCTAAAATTAGGCACTTTTTGTCCTTTGGCTATGTAGAGAAAGACGATCATATTTTGTCTCATTTAAATGAATATAGTTTTCCTTAGGTCAGAATTCTGGCAATATGCTAAATGCAACTTTAAGGCTTTTAAGTAAAAGATAAGCTTATATAGCTCAGACTTTTAGTGTCCTAAATGGTTAAATGTGGATTTTATGACTGTTTTTAAGGCAGCCTTTAAAGCTTGGCTTGGTCTGGCCATGAGCAAAATAATTTTTCACCTTTTATGAATTGAAGTAGAGACTGGGATCTCCAGGCATGGTCCATTCAACAGCTACATAGTCTAGACTAAAAGGTTAGGGCTGCTTCAGCAAGAGCATCACCAACATCTACTTTCTGGAGCCATAATAGCATAGCCTGAAAGGATTTGCCCGAAAATAGAAGGTGCAAGGAGATCTTTATAACTTTACCTTT